CACTCACTCTCTCTCTCTCACTCACTCACTCTCTCACTCACTCAATCTCACTCAATCTCTCACTCACCCTCACTCACTCATTCACTCACTCTCTCACACTCTCTTTCACTCACTCACTCACTCACTCTCTCTCAATCTCTCACTCACTCTCTCACTCTCACTCTCACTCACACTCTCTCACTCTCTCACTCACACTCTCACTCACTCACTCTCTCTCTCTCTCAATCTCTCACTCACACTCTCTCACCCTCTCACTCACTCAATCTCTCACCACACTCACACTTTCTCACTCACTCACTCACTCACTCTTACTCTCTCACCTGCTCTCTCGCTCACTCACTCACACTCACTCACTCACTCACTGCCATCAAGTCCAGGAGAAGAGGACTCTGGGGGGTTTCTGAGACGGTAACTCTTTGTGGGAGTGGAAAGTCGTTTCTTTCTCCGTGGAGCCATTAGTGGATTCCAACCGCTGCCCTTGTGGCCAGCAGCCTCCAGAGTATCAGCACATAACACTCAAGATCGCGGACTTCCCTGAAGACAAGCGTGAATGTTCCCTTTATTTCTGACACTCCACAACTGCGCGACTGCCATGCAGTTACTTTCCCTCACTTTCCGCCAGTTTCCTACTATGTTAACCTGTGGTTAAAGTATGCACACCACAGAGGTGTTTGGGGAATTAAAGAATGTAAATTCTTACCATCGTTAGTCATAGAACTAGACATTCTTCCATGTAGATGGTTTCAGCAGGTATCAACTCCAAATTTAAGGGGCACTGGTGTTTCAGTGGGTTCAGAATTGGGCTGCTAACTGCAGGTCTACAGTTCAAACCCATCTGCCAGAACAAGATGAGGCTGTCTGCTCCCTTAAAGGTTCACAGTCTAGGGGGCGCTTGTCCTCTGTCCCATAGGGTCCCTGATTGTTGGAACAGATGCAATAGCAATGCATTTTCCTACTCCGACTTTCACAGTGAATATGTATGTGTGTATGTTTAAAATATGTATGCATGGTGTTTAAAAGCATTATGCTCTTCTCGATTTTTTTTTTTTTTTGGTTGTAGAGATTAAATGCCCTGGCTGCATTGGTTCGTGGCAGTCTTCCTAAGTTACACAGAAATATCATAACTGCCTTAATTACTATCGATGTCCATGCAAGAGACATTGTCTCCGAACTTGTGACTATGCAGGTAAATGTCTCCTTTAAGGAAAAGCCAATGCTCCTTTCTGTCTGAAGTTGCCAGTTCAACATGTGCATCATTGCTGTCGTGTATGTAGATATCTGGAGTAGACTCCTTTGACTGGCAGAGGCAGCTGCGCTATTATTGGGACATAGACCTGGACAACTGTGTGGCTCGGATGGCGCTCTCAATGTACACTTACGGCTATGAATATCTAGGTGCATGCCCACGACTAGTCATCACTCCTCTCACGGTAAGCTGCTGTGCCCTTCGGTTCATGGGAACGCAGAGAGACGCTCCTCTACCAAAATCTGTCGGCAAAAGTTTTTAACTCTGATCATTAACTCATGATCAGACTGGCCATGAATCCATCTTCCTGAAGCAAGGAGTTGCATTATTTGATTATGTGCGTGGATCTTTGCATCTCTTCCAACTTCTGGGAAGCCTTTCGTGGGAAGCAGTGACCCCTCCCCCTACTCCCACCAAAAGGAAACACCTTGTGAAGTTCTGGCTAGAGTCGATTGCCTGCAATAACGACAACTTATCGATTTCTTCAGGATCGTTGTTACCTCTGCCTCATGGGGGCTTTGCAACTCGACCTGGGGGGTGCCCCAGCTGGACCTGCTGGCACTGGAAAAACAGAGACCACCAAAGACCTAGCCAAAGCGCTCGCCATCCAGTGTGTGGTCTTTAACTGTTCCGATGGTTTGGACTATAAGGTACAGGCCATGCAGCTGAACACTCTCATTTGTGTGTCCTCTGTTTGCGAAAGGACCTAACAGAAGGGCAGGGTGTGCTGATGTCAGCTACTCTGGGTGTCTTCTTTAGAGTCAGAGCAAAGAGTAATCCAAACCCAACCCCACGGCCTCTGAGTTTATTCTGACTCATGGTGGTCCTGTAAGGCAGAGTAGAGCGGCTTCCTTAGGTTTCTGAGACTACTAGTCTTTACAGGAGTAGACGGCCTCGTCTTTCTCCTGCAGAGTGGCTGGTGGGTTTGAACCAGTATGAGTCACTGATCTTACAGTTAGTACCCCAACATGTAACCCGTAGCACTGTCAGAAAAGATTTTTGTTGTTGTTGTTTTTCAGTGCCTCTGTTGGGCTGGGTTGACTAGAGAAACAAATCCAGTGACACTCATATATGTGTAAGAAAGAGCTTTCAAGAAGTAATTGTATATCAGGCAAACATCCCAGCCCAGTCCAACTCAAGTCCTTAAGTCTGGAACTAGTCCATAAGTCCTTCTTCAGACTCACGAAGCCACATGCAATCATGCAGAATGCAGGAATCTCACCGGCCGGTGGGTGCAAAATCCCATAGATCCAATGGCAGTGGACGCTTCTCCAGGCGTCTAGCAGCAACCGGGGTCCAACAGCAGGAAGGTGAAGGTTCTCAGGGACCTCCTTATGAGAAGGCCACACCCACAAGGAGGCACCATCAGGCTGTGACCTGATTGACAGGCTAAACTCCCTCCTTATGTATCTTCAAGTTGAAATGTACTTTTGTAACTACCACAGGGCCACTGAGTCAATTCTGATTCATAGCAACCTTACGCACAACAAAACACTGCCCGGTCCTGCAGCCACTGTGTCCATCCATCTTGTTGAGGGCGTTCCTCTTTTTCAGTGTCCCTCCCTCTACTTTACCAAGCATGAGGTCCTTCTCCAGGGACTGGTCTCTCCTGCCAACATCAGCAAAGTACATCAGACGAAGTTCATCACCCTTGCCTCTAAGGGACATTCTAGCTGTACTTCTTCCAAGATAGATTTGTTTGCTTCTATGGCAGTCCACGGTACTTTCAATATTCTTCACCCGCTCCGTCATTCAAATGCCTCCATTCTTCTTCAGGCTTCCTGACTCGGTGTAAAACTTCCACACGCATAAAAGGCAATTGAAAGTCCATGGCTCGGTCAGGCCCATTTTAGTCCGCAAAGTAACATCCTTGCTTCTCAGCACCTTTAAGCGGTCTCGTGCAGCAGATGTACCCAATGCAATGGGTCATTTGTTCCCTTGACTTTTGTTTCCTTGAGCATTGATTGTGAATCCAAGTAAGCCGAAGGCCTTGGCAGCCTCAATCTTTTCTCTATTTATCCTGTGACCTATTGGTCCAGCTGACACCTTTGGGTTGTGATAGTGACAATGAATTTTAAATAAACGACAGCCTGCCAGAAGAACGAACAAACCTCGTCTTGGAAAAAGCCAGAAAGCGTCTTAGAAGCAAGGTGGTCACACACACACACACACACACACACACACACTTTGGACTTGTCATCGTGGGGGACTAATAACTGGAAAAGGATGAGTGGGTTGAGTGGAGGGTTGGTGAAGGAGAGGGAAATCTTTGGTGAGATGGATTGGCACAGGGACCGCAGTAGCGGACTCGGCCGTGGCAGTGTTGTTTGCTGAGCACGGCCTGGGACTGGGCGGTGTTGTGTTCTGTTGTAAGTGAGGTCACCATGATTCAGAACTGACTCGACGACACCCAACAACAACCATCTTAAATGGTAAAACGACCCTTCTTCTTAGTAGCTCCAGTGTGTTGTCTACCACCTACACTGCCTTGTCAAGGCAATGAAGCGTTTCACTAGTAAAATTCTCAAGCTTCAGGTCTTCATCTGTTATGTTTGGAGAGCTATCAAGTATTTGCAGAGGCCAGCGGAGGTTATGCAAAAGAAGGAAAAGTGTAGAGGCTGTCCCTCTATTTAAGAATGAAATTAGGATCAAATCATGTTTTAAGAAAGATGGATATATTTCCTTTGGTAGCAAGAGGCTGACTTCTGACGTCGCCCACAGTGTTCACATATGCTTATTTGTAGATCCTATCTCTTTTCTCTCTTTAATCTGTCAGCGTAAGACCTGAGTTCTGAAGAAACTGTAACATGCACTCAGTCCCAAGGTGAGCAGCATGCTTGTGATTTCAGATGATGGGGCGCTTCTTCAGTGGTCTGGCGCAGTCGGGGGCCTGGTGCTGCTTTGATGAATTCAACCGAATTGACGTAGAGGTTCTGTCAGTCATCGCCCAGCAGCTTATCACCATCAGAAATGCCAAAGCTGCAAAGGTAAGGCGCATGCTCTATGGAGGATGCCTTTTTAAAAGCTGGTAGTTAACTGACAGAGCCCTGGTGACATAGTGGTCATGCCTTGGGCTGCTCACCACGAGGTCAGCAGTCTGAAACCACCAGCCACTCCTCCGGAGTAAGATGAGGCTTTCTACTCCCACAAAGAGTTATTGCCATGGGAACGCACGGGGGCACGTCTACCATGTCCTAGATGGTTGCTGTGGGTCCGAATTGATGTGGTGGCAGTTCTCAGTTTGGGGAATTAAGTTGCAGGAGTGCCTTCTGACTGTGTGGTAGAATTCTCTGCTGCCTGGTGACAGTGGCGAGTTGTGGAGAGTTGTGTGTTGCCATGTTGTCAAACAGGTTTCGGTAGTGTTCCCAGACTAAAATAGACAGAGGCTGTCCTCATGTGAAAGTACTGTTGAGTAGTGGGTAAATATTTTTTATTATCAACTTTGCACATACACCAAAAAAATATCCAATAGTAGAACAAATGAAAAGAAAAAGGAAATCGATCGTTAATGAACTGCTAAATTGTACAAGTCACTGTACAAGAACGTAGTTTATACTTATTTCATCTTCCAATCAAACCTATGTGAAATAGGTAGTATTTTCTCCAGGTTACAGGTGGAAAAAATCTTAAACATATATTTCTAGTACATCTCAGAATCAAGGTACAACTAAATTCATAATACCCTGAAGTCTAAGCGTCTTCAGACACAGGTGCCCCGTGTCCCCCATGTCTTCTGGAGATGCCCTCACAAAACACAAGCATTGCCAGATACAGCCTCGTAAGCTCCTAAATCTTTATCGCCTGACTGACTAATCAATTAGCTGGAAACAAAAGGTGGAGAGTATGTGGGAAGAGATCAGAGAACATGGAATGTTGCTAACAAGAGGGCGATCTTGTGAGGTGAAAGAAAGGTAGAAGAAAGAACATCAGCAACCTACCAAGCCCCGGCCTGGTGTTGTCAATAACCAAGAAAGAGAGTTGGAGGAAAACATATGCTCCGAACTAGAAGAAGAAACGCAAGCACAGATTTAGAGATTTAAGGAGCACAGCTGGAGTTAACAGCAGCAAGTCTGGCCCACAGCCAGACCAGCCAGTGGTCCCTCCATTCTGGTTTCTCAGGATGGGCCCCTGTGCTCCTGATGTCTGCGAAGGGTGCCCCCATGCAGTGGGTCCTCTGACTTCTCCTACTACTGTTAACCCCCTAATCTGATCATCATCAAAACCTCTTGATTTTATCTGCTAGATGCCTTTCACGTAAGCACCTCCCTCTCCGTTCCACTGAGAACCTCTCTAACTCTGACTGTCACCATCGTCCAAAGGGTACTTCTGTCTGTCTGTCCATAGTATGTCTGATCTCTACACTGCCAGAGTGATCTAATCCTTTAGCTGAAAATATTGCTCAGCTTTACCCTTCTATGGGTCAAAAAAAAAATCTCGATTCCCTAGCCTAGCTTGCAGAATCGTTTCCATTCCATCTTGTGTTTCCACCCTTTGCCCTGGAACGTCCAAGGAAAGTGCACATTCATGATTACCAGCGTGAATTGCCGGCCATCCCTTGAACACGAAGTTTTGTCTCTTACTCTTGTCTCCTTTGCCCAGAATAGCTGTCACTGCTTATTTACCCGAAATTCCCCCTTTTCCTTCTTCAAATCTCAGGCATTCCAGGGCTCTCTGCAGGTACTGTGCACACTTCCACGATATGGTGCTGATTCCAGGCCTCACGCTATCCCACGAGAGCAAGCCTGGGAGCTGCTGGAGGGCTTGGCAGTGGGTCTCCTCCTGCGCTGTTCTTTCGAGCCTTGCCCACTGCCCCACCTCAGCTGTCACAGGTGGTCAACAAGGATGTGCTGTTAAATAAAAGGGAAAGTGTAGTTCCAAAGATGGTGACAGTATTCCTCGACACCCAAGCAATAATACCAGATGTGAATTCTTTGGGAAAAGCCAGAACGTAGGAATAAAAAAGGTATAATGACCATAAAGTCTAAATTAAGAAAGCTTGGCAAAAGCGATGGAGGCTTAGAAGCTTATCATCAGTGTACCAAGAGGGTAAAGGTGGTTTAGGCCAGCAGGATCAAGGAGACAGAGCCGAGAAAACGTAGCCCAGAACAGAGAAGGCGCAGGCACGGCAATCACGGGAGAAATGGTACCTGGTGTCCAAAAATAGGACTCATTATTCTCAGCTTGACTGTACCTTGATATGAATTTTGTGTTCAAGACATAATTCATGTGAGAAAATTTACCCATGTCTGGAGAAGTATGAAGTTACACTTTCTATTCCATTTAAACAGCTCTCTAGGTTCATGTTTGAAGGGCGAGAAATAAAGCTGATTATGACCTGTGCAGCCTTTATCACAATGAATCCTGGGTATGCCGGCAGAACCGAATTACCAGATAATCTGAAAGCCTTGTTCAGACCGTTCGCAATGATGGTGCCAAACTACGCCTTGATTGCAGAGGTGAGCTTCATGTTATAAAGTGACAAAAAAGTTAAGTTTCTTTCGTTACATTTGATTCTATCACTGTAGGAAGGTTTTTTAATAAAAGCATCTCGAGTAAGGTTACACATTATAGTGTGTATTCAATGTAGCGAAGACTATTTTCATGGAGAACGTTTGAGTCTATATTTGATTTTGCTTGTTTTGTTTTGTTTTCCTTCTTTATTTTCTTCACTGAACTATCCCTAATTCGCTTGCCTGTCATTTTCTAATAATGTGGTGGCTTGGTTTTGATGTGATGCTAAAAGCTATGCCACTGTTATTTCAAATATTAACAGAGTCACCAGCTTGGACAGATTTCTTTTTTTTTTTTTTTGATGATTTGAATACCAAGTGATATGATATTTTTTTATCTATAGTTTCTTTTCTTTTTTTTTCCATTTAGGTATGAATTTATTGTTTTTTTGTTTTGTTTTTTTAACATTTTATTAGGGGCTCATACAACTGTTTTCCCAATCCATACACACATCAATTGTGTAAAGCGCATTTGTACATCGTTTCTCAAAACATTTTCTCTCCATTGAAACCCCCAACATTAGGTCCTCATTTTTCCCCTCCCTCCCCGCTCCCCCCTCCTGCATGAGCCCCTGATAGTTTATAAATGGGTATTTTGTCATATCTTGCCCTGTCCGACGTCTCCCTTCATCCACTTTTCGGTTGTCTGTTGGACAGATTTCTTCAATACTTCCAGACTAAGACAGACTCAGAAGAAAGAACTGGCAATCTACTTGCAGGAAGACTGGCCAGTGAAAAGCCGTGGCTAGCAGTGGAGCGTTGTCTGATATAGTACCAGGAGATGAGTCTCTCAGGTTGGAAGACACTCAAAATATGATGAGAAAGAGCTGCCCTGTCAAAGTAGAGTAGATGTGGGTGGAATAAAGCTTTCAGAACCTTGATTTGCTAATGCGGCATGAAAGAAATAGCTGCAGGCATCGATTAATCATCAGAATGTGGAATGTACTAGTCTCAATCTAGAAAAATTGGAAGTTATCAAAAATGAAATGCATAAAAATGGATATCTTAAGTGTTGGTGAGCTGCAATGGACTGGCATTGGCCTTTTTGAATGGTTTACTATTCCAGAAACGACAAAACAAAGAAGAATGGCATCACGTCCACCGTGAAAAAGTCAGGGTCTATTCTGAACGCCATTAATGATAAATGATATTCATATGACTGCCAGGGAAAGTCAGTTGAAATAACTATTCATATTTACACACCAACCATAAATGTCAGAGATAAAGGAATTTTACCAAAGTATACTGTCAGAAGTTGACTACATATGCAATCAAGATGCATTGATCCTCATTAGTGATTGGAATAAGAAAGTTGGGAATAAAAAGGAAAAATCTGTAGTTGTAAATATGGCCTTGGTGATGGAACCACACTGGTGATTGCATGGTAGAATTTTGCAAGACCAATGCCGTACTCATTGCAAATGCATTTTTTTACAAGGTAATTGGCAGCTATATACACAGACCTCACTGGATGGAATTCATGGGAATTAGATTGACTACATCTGTCGAAAGAGAAAAGGGCAGAAGCTCAATATCAGTCAGCACCAGGCCTGGGGCCAACTATGGACCAAATTATCAACTGCTCATATGCAAGTTCAAGTTGAAGCTGAAGAAAAGTAAAGCAAGTCCACGTGAGCCAACGTACAACCTTAAGCATATCCCACCTGATTTTAGAGAACATTTGAAGAACAGCTTTGATACATTGAACACTAAAGACCTTCTTCTTCTTCTTCTTCTTCTTCTTCTTCTTCTTCTTCTTCTTCTTCTTCTTCTTCCTGTTGACAAGCCATGTGGAGCGGCATTGAGGAGCCACACTCACAGAGTGGGAGGAACCTCATAGAGACCTTGGAAGTGCTGACATGCTTCCACCACCACTGGATCCACAAGACCTTTCATCCACCAGCCTGTGATCTTCCTGCATTCGACATCATTGCATATGCCACATGAGTCTGAAGAAGAATTTACAGACTAGTGTGGGACATATTGGCTAATATCAGACTTATGGACTTGATCTGGACCGGGCTGGGATGTTTTCTCAATACTATATAATTGCTCTTTGATATAAAGCTCTCCTCACACACATATGAGTGGATTGTTTTCTCTAGTCAACCAGGACTAATACACTTGTTATCATGCAGAATGAAGTGGAAAGTGTATTATTGCAGATGCAGCTAGGTTAAAATTTAGCACTTGTCATTTGCTCTCCCTTATAATTCTAAATTTGTTCTAGTTTTTAATATTTTCTGTTTTCTATTATATCTAGGTTTTATCTGTTTTGCTTTGTTATTGTTGTTAGGTTTTTTTTTCGTGTTTTATTTTTTAACTGTTTTTCTGCATATGAAATCCATGATAGGTAAATCTATTTGTGGAGGTTGCTTTGAGTTGCCTATAGTAGGGTTCTGTAGTTTTCCTCGTACAAGTCTTTGGTTTTTTTGGTTAGATATACCCCTAGATATTTCAGTTTGTTCTTGGCTGTTTGTAATATTAAGTGTGAGGAGTGCCATCCCCCGACCACTACCCACGGGTTCAGTAAGCATAATTGTGCGGTTGAGGTGTATATAAGTATTATATTAAAGTCATCAAGAGCATGAAAGGTAGAGGAGAGTTATTACAATAATGCATTCAGACACATTGCATGGTAGCATTGCTCACCTCAGCCCCGCTCGGTGGTCCACATGGAGAGAGGGGGAAGGGAAAGAGGGCAGGAAAGGGAACAAGGGAGAGAGGACAGGAGAGGAGACAGGAGGAGGAGCCCAGCGAGAGGAGTCAGGGAAAGAGCTCTCTATTGTTAACCCAGGCTTATATGCCTTTGGGGGCATGCAAGCCCACTAATTACAGGTAAAGACATATGTCACAGGAAGGGGTTGCACTATAGGTTATACAGCAATGAGAGGGGGTGGTCTAGGGACATACACGCAATAGGAAGAGGAGGGATTGGAGGTATACATGTGACAAGATGGGCAGATCCTAGATACAGAATGGCAGCTTAATTTTGGATGTCACAGAGCAGGTTTGACTTGTTCCCTGGCTCAACTGATAGAGACCATTATCAGTAGGAGGGTGTGAACTCCTCCTACAGGAACCTGTCCATTGTCTTTAACAGCAGGGGTCCACTGCAGTCTGGCCCTCAGGGGGGGAATGCCTGCACATCTGACCTCCCCCCACAGCTATTGTGAAGGGTACTGCCTTCTTGATCTCCTCTTCCTTGGTCTTGTGCAGTGTATATAGCAAACCAATAGCCTTCTGTTTGTTGATCTTGTATCCCACCACTCTTCTGTATTCCTCTCATGATAGGTAAATCTATAGAGGCAGTAACTAGATTAAAATTCTCTTGGGGGTAGGCAGGGGAAGTTGGGAGGAAACGGGGAGCTAATAACAATGAGCACAAGAATGAAGAAAATATGATACAACCTATTGTGGTGCTGATGTACAACCCTTCTTGATATGGTGGAACTATTGAATTGTATTATGTTTGGATTATGTCATTATATGCCAATGACACTGTTCAAAAGAGAGAGGGTAGAAGGAAAACACAGAGTCACCGTAATATATGATAAAAAAATGGTATTGAGGAAAGAAATTAAAGCTACTCGGAAGAGGTTGCTGCAAAACAGGGCTAAACAAATTGACACATACCAATGAAGATGTTTCAACAAATAGATGCAATGCTAGAAGTGTCGAGAAATTTGGAAGTCAGCTACCTGGCCAACTGCAAAAGAGTTGTGCCCAACAGAAAGGTAGCCCAACAAAATGCAGAAATTACCAAACAATATCATTAACAGTACACATAAGTAAAAATTTGCTGAAAATATTGCAAAACTGATTGCAGCAATACACCTACAGATAACTACCAGAAATTGCAACCAGATCCAGGACATAGCACCAGGGAGAACACTCATGATGTCAGAGGGGTCTTGGCAGAAAGGAGAAAATAATAGCAAGATGTTTACCTGTGTTTTACTGACTATGTGAAGGCATTTGGTCAAGTGGATTTTGACCATTATGAACCTCATTTCAAAGAATAAGAATTCCAGAACAATGATTATGCTCAGATAGAACTTATTCCAAAGGGCCATCATTAGGACAGAACAAAGGGTTATTGTGTAGTTTAAATTCAGGAAAGGTGTGTGTCAGTTGTATCCTTTCAACATATTTATTCAATCTGTTTGCTGAGCAAATAGCCAAAGAACTTAGATTATATGAAAAAGAAGGTGATATCAGGGCTAGGGAAAGACTCATTAACACCTGAGATAAGCAGATGGCACAACCTTGCTTGCTCAAAGTAAAGAAGAACTTAACAATGGGAATCGATGTAGAGTACACTTCAACATAAAAACCGAAATTCTCACAATTGGACCCCTCAGTGATACCATGATAAATGGAGAAAAGATTAAAGTCATCAAGAATTTCATTTGACTTGGCCTCACACTCCATGGCCAGGAAACAGCCGTCTAGAAACCATGGAATGGGTTGCATGGCAAATCAGTCACCTGCAAAATACCTCTTTAAAGTGTCAAAAGGTTAAGGTGTCCCTTTGGAAGCTAAGGTGTACCTGATCCAAGCCGTGGGATTTTCAATCCCCTCATCTGCATAGGAAAGCTGCACAATGAATACGGAAGATTAAAGAGCTGGTGCCTCTGGACGGTGTGTTGGTGAAGAATAGTAAATATCCCGTGGGTGCCAGAATGATGTCTTGGGAGAAGGACAGCCAGAGTGATCCTGAGAAGTCGGTCACTTACTCTCATGGACTTCGGACATGGAATTTCTCAGAATCACTAGCACAAGGACCTCTATGAAGTTTTAAAAAAACAATAGCCCTGATTAAACCTTGGAACTGTATAATGTGTGGAGTATGTGCCAATAAAACTGTTTTAAAAAATAAATAATAGCCCGTCAGGTTTTTTTCATTTTGTTTATTTATTATCAGCCTGTGTACAATTGATCATCTGAAGTTAATTTTCCTTTGATAACAACTAATTTTCAATATTTTTCCATATGAAGGAGAGCAATTGCTTCAGAATAGAACCTACCATGCCAAATCCTATCATTAGAAAATTTACAACCTTCATTCATATGATGCTACCACATCGCATGGTTCTCCAGAACCCACGGGGGTACAGTGGGTTGGATGACATGCTGTCATCACTTTTGACCTTCTTGGCAACCAGGGAAGATAAAGACTTGTTCATTGTCCCAGAATTGGTAGGGAGAAAACCTGGCTTAGAAGCCAGTCCATCCCTTTATTCATATCCTCTGTGTGTCCTGTTGCTACAGTACTCAAGAATTAGAAGGATTTGAAAATCCTGTCTTCTAAGGACTGTTCGTATTGTTATGATAGTGAGATAGTTAGTGTTTATTGTGCCTACCTGGCCAATAAACATATGTGGGGTTAATTGAAGGGCAGAGAGATAAATGGCTCAGTGAGCCTCAACTTTTGAGTTCTCGGGTCTCTTGCTTTATGATGGTCACATCAGGGTGCAGCTGCCTTAGCCAGTTCCCTGCTTCAGCTGGCAAGGCTTACTTTTTGCAAGACATCCCTGAGGAGAAGCCACATGGACCTACCCTGGTGCAGCCCTGGTTGCTGGAGCAGCCGTGTGGAGACCCCTGCCAGTGTTGAGATGCTTACACATTCACTGACTCGGCTTTCCTCCTGCAGTCAGCATCATTACATGTGTTTTGTGAGATGGAGGAGGACTTTGTGGATTGGTGTTGGACATATGGGTTAATGGGCTTGTGGGCTTGGGCAGCACTGGATTGGGATGTTTTCTTGATGTGCACTTACCCTTTATATAAAACTCTCTCTTATGCATATGAGTTTCTGTGGATTTGTTTCTCTGAAGTACACAGACTAACACAGATAAATTGGCTGAATCAGAGTCTATGAACACAAACTATTTTTAATCATGTACAGTGTGCACAGTGCTGTGCTAACTAGCAGTGACAGAGCCCTAAACAAAATGGGCCACCACTAAGACATCCCTGCATCATTGTGGAACTGGCTTTTGAGGCCATCTGCAGTGCTTCTGGTAGACCATGGATTAAGGGCAGGTCCATACCCACCACCACCATCAAAGACACCAGGCAGTGCTTGCTTTGGCGGCACATATACTAAAATTTGAACGACACTAGGCATTGTGTAATTTCTTTAACCAAAGATACAGAAACTTGTCAGGAGCAAAGTAACCTCACACGTCAGGGAACAAAACAAAATTAAAAACCATGGCCATCAAGTTGATTCTGACTCATGTAACCCCATGTGTTACAGAACAGAACTGCTCCACCAGGTTCTCCCGCTCTCTCTCTCTCCCCCCACCCCAGTCCCCTTATCAGAATAGCTTTTGTTTATTGATTATTGTTTGTTTATTTTAGCAGCTTTATGCACATATAATTCACATATCACACGTTTCAAACATGCAAACCTACTAACAAGGTGGTACCATCAGCACTGCAGTGGATTTCAGAGCATTTCTTCCCTCTTGAATTCCTTCTGACTCACTCCCCATCTCCTCCCCACCTCCCCTGTCCTAGGGTTCATATACAGAAAACATAGAAAAACAAAACCCCAAAACATAGGGTTTTCACAGCTAGAGTCTTAACAGAAGTAGACCACTACATCTTTTTTCTGTGGCACCATTGGATGGTTCGGATCACATACTTTTAGCACAAATTATTCACACCACCAAGATCCTGCAGGGCATGGGATAGACAGCCAATCACTGTGTAGCTTTTCTCAAGGGAGCACATTGCTATGACTGGTATTGTCTTCCAAGGTGGTGGTCTTGTCAAACTGGATAAGCACAGTTCTCGTGACAACACTGCCCTGTTGAAGCCTGGCCTGAGAACACCATTTCACCTCCATAGCGTAAACACTTGGCTCTCTTGCTCCTTGAACTAAAAGTCATCAAAGCCACGTCTTCATCAAGAGAGCCCTGCCCAGGTGTCTCCATAAAGCATCCTGCCTAATGCCTTCCAGTGGCACTGCAAACCATTTGTCTTTCCAACGTAATACTTACATTCTTTTGTTAAATGACACCAACTAATTGGAGAAGTGCAATGGTGAAAGTGGATTCCCTCTTCAGGAGAAAGAGGAAGATGCCTGCTCCTATAAAGATTTTCAAGGCCTCCAAAACCCTATATAGGTCAAGAATGAGTTGAAATGAACTTAATGGCAGTAGTTTTAATAGGTTAGTATTAGGCTAATATATTCCAGTGTTTCCCAAGGTGGGTGATATCACCCCTGGGGATGCTGGAATAATCTAGGGAGGGGCTGCAAGAAAAGCATAACTATATCCTAAATTATGAGCTAGAGTATAAAACTTTAGCAACCAGTTGGGCACTGAGTAATTTTTTTTTTCTGAAAAGGGGACAGTGGGCCAAATAAATCTGGAGACCTAATAATAATCTAACAATTAGACTATCAATATCATATAATAATATTATACTTTCCTATTCTAGGTAATTCTCTATTCTGAAGGATTTGAGTCCAGCAAAATATTGGCAAGAAAAATGACTCAGATGTATAAACTGTGCAGTGAGCAACTTTCTCAGCAGGATCACTATGATTTCGGCATGAGAGCCGTGAAGTCTGTACTGGTCATGGCTGGGTAAGAAACCAAAGTGGTCAAAAGTTAAACACCACATCCTATAATCAATGGGTGGAAAGGGAAACCAGCCTGGTCCACAGTCAGTAGCGACTCACTGTCAGCTCCCGCGCCAGCTGTCCGTCTCAACCTCAGACTCCCATGCCGCAGGGGCAGGGCTCTCACCTCTTCCTTCCAGGGCTCTCCTCTGTGAGACCCAGCATGCTACTTCAGATGGAACCTGAGGCCCAGCTAGACTAGCTTCTGTCTAGTCTTTCCTGTCTCCAGGAGCTCATCCAATACCTTGGGCTCGAGCGTACCCAAGTCTTCACGACCACTGGAAAGGAAGACTGGCCAGTTTCTTATCCATATCCGGTGAGGTAAATCACACGGGTGAGCCGGCAAAATCATGCATGTTAAGAGAAACTTCAGTCCATCCTTCCAAGTGCATTTCAGGCTTACCTCTTGCGTGCCACCTCGTTTTTACAAAATAGTACAAGTCTGCGTTTCTTTCTTAGTACAGCAAAAGTCTTTCCTGTTTCACACCTTATTTTGTTTCTCTTTATAACTAATTGAAGTTACTAACTCTGGACCCTCAACTTGTCCAGAGTCCCTGAGAATAACCGTTTTCTTACTAGTTCTTCCTCTTAGCCTCATTGGGTCAGTTTCTGTACATCCATGCCCCTTCTCTCTCACCTTGTATCTGTGCCCTTTCTGTCTTTCTCTCTTTCTTTCTTTCTTCTGTCCTTCCTTCCTACCTTTTTCCCTCCCTCCCTTCCTTTCTCTCTCTTCCCAAATGCACTATTACTTCTTTTTCAGGCTTGCCATATAAGCATAATAAGGGGTTTGAATACATTTACAGGCATTGTTCCAAGAACACAAATTCAGAGCAGTGGGAGAGACAGACAAAGCAGCCATCGTCTAAGATGCTACGTGCTGAGGGCAGTCATAGGTTCTCTAAGAATTAAATGGAGGAGCTTTCTAGAGGATGGTTTGGGCTTTGAAGGGAAAATAGGAGTTAGTCAGCAAAAAAGCAAGGCATAGCATTCTGGGCAGAGGAAAAGAGAGTCACAGACTATGAAACCCGATGGGGCAGCATGGCTAATGAATCAGGTGCCGAAGGAAGAGATCCTTGTTATTCCCCAAAGGCTGCATTCTGCAGGGCGGTCTGCACACCTTGCGATTCCTGACTCATAGGTCTGGAGAGTTCTGTCCAATCACATTTTCTCTAATTGTCCTCTGATCTATTCCTTTGGATTTAGGTCTTTAAAGAGAGAGAACCCAACCCTGAATGAGGACGTGGTACTGATAAGGGCTTTACGAGATTCCAACTTGCCCAAGTTCCTCACGGACGATGCGCTTCTGTTCAGGTAACTTTCTGGGGGGTTCAGGATCAAGCATAGCTGTTGTGTGGCTAATGATAGTCACATGATCGAGTCTTTCTTCCCTTAACAAAGCAGTGACTTTTTCATCTTTCCCAGAGATATGCACTGAAATGTGAAAAGACAATACTAGTTTAAAATAAAGATACTAAAATTTTGACATTAGTTCTTTTTTCTTCAAAATATTCATCACTAGGCTATGTCCTATAGAAATTAGGATTTGGCTAAAAAATAAATAAATAAAAAGAAACAAATAAATTAGTATTTGGTTATAAGCTCCTGACCTAACAAGAATGTGCAGATATTGCTTTGAGGATACCCTCTCTCTTTCCTGTCAACTACCACAAGGTATTAATAGTCTTAATTCATGTCATACACCTTGACATACTTTGCTGGGAGACCGTACCTCTGTCTGCTGTCGTCTTGTTTTAACAAGTTGAAAAACTTGTTAGAATTTCGCTCATCTGCTTTAACAAGTTGCGAAACTTGTTCAAATTGTCTCACCTGCTGTGTCTTCCCTTCTGTTATTTGTCCTTCTAAGCAGTTGTATGAGTGTGTTTTTGTTCATATGAATTCACTTATTTTCATTAAACCAAGTTAAATGTTTTGTTATCTGCATTCATCTCCTAGGACAGTCAGATCGCATTATCAAAAACGGAGTGGGTTAAAACCATTGCCTCCCACTTGCAGAGACCAGAAGTCTGAAATCAAGGTGTCACTAAGACCATTACCCATCCCCCCCTTTTCCACCAAAAGGCTACACTGGTGATGTAGTGGTTACACGCTGGGCTGCGATCCACATGGTCAACAGTTCAAAACCACAGCAGCTTTGAGGGAGAAAGACTGGGCTTTCTACTCCAGTAAACACTTCCAGTCTTGGAAACCCACAGAGCTCACTGTGAGTCAGCACTGACTCGATGGCAGTGAGAAAGGCTGTGGGGAAGATTCCTCCTGGCTTCATGGATTCTGGGGGCTCCAGCAATCCACGGTTTCCTTGGCCTGTGGGTGCATCACTCCAGTATCTACCTCCATCTCCACAGGGCCGCCATTCCTCCGTGTTTGTGTCCGTCTCCTCTTTTTGGAAGGACACATTCATAATGGAGTGGGATCCACCCAGCTCTTTTGTTAACTGATCCCATTTTCGCAGACTTTTCTATTTCCAAATGAGATCAAATTCACCGGTCTGAGAGTTAAGGCTGCAGTGGATCTGAGGAATACAATTCAATTCATGATCATATCATATGGCATGCTTGTTGTAATGAACTCAATCAGTATAGATGTCTGGGAAATAAAACACTAAAGCACCTCTACCAACCTCCAAACCTCCACTCCTACCTCCCACATTCACTGTCCACCCATGTGTTTACACTGACTCTTCTGTGATTGGATAAATGGTGGCTGTTGCCTGTATTCATTACCATTTGGTTTTAAAATAATCAGATTATATTTACTTAGAGACCCAATGTTCCCTTTATTCAATTTCCCTCAATGATAACATATTACAAAACTATATCAAAACCGGGATGCTAACATTTATACAATCAAAAGTCAGCACATTTTCATCATCAACAAGAGATCCCTCAGACAAGCTAGTCAGGGTGCAGAATAGCATCAATAAAACATACAACTTTCCTCTAGTTCTTTAATGCTTCCTCCCACCGCATTATCATGATCCCAATTCTACCTTACAAATCCAGCTAGACCAGAGCATGTACACAGGTATAGATAGGAACTGGAAACACAGGGAATGCAGGACAGATGAACACCTCAGGACCAGTGGCGAGAGTGGCGATACCAGGAGGGGAAGGGGAAAGTGGGGAGAAAGGGGAAATTGATCACAATGATCTACATATAACCCCCGCCCTGGGGGATGTACAACAGAAAAGTGGGTGAAAGGAGACATTGGTCAATGTAAGACATGAAAAAATAATAATAATTTATAAATTATCAAGGGTTTGTGAGAGAGGGAGGGTGGGAGGGAGGGGGAAAATGAGGAGCTGATATCTAGGGCTCAAGTAGAAAGAAAATGTTTTGAAAATGATGATGGCAACAAATGTAAAAATGTGCTTGCTTGACACAATGGATGGATGGATTGTGATAAGAGTTGTGTGAGCCCCCAATAAAATAATTAAGTAAAAAAAGGGATCCCTCATGATGGCCTTTGATAGCTCTGCCCATTTTCCTCCTTCCTCCCTCCTTAATCCCTGACAAACATGAACCTGTCCTCCATTTCTAGAATTTTAGCATTTGAAGAATCTTATATACAGTAAACTCTGTAAGACAGAAACCTGTCAGAGAATGAAAATTCAAATATTTTCCACTAATAGTGAGTGATTTTTTTAAAAAGTGATAAGACTATATACCCTTTCAAAGGCAGAAAACTTGCAAAACCTGGAAAAATAAAAAGTAAAGTTTGGGTTGTCCCAAGTTTCACTGCATTGGAATTGTGAATCATGTAACTTTTTGAGACTGACATCATTCGAAGGAGAGTCACCCAAGTTGTTCGTGTATCAATAATTCATTTTCCTTTACAGCCAAGTAGTATTCCACAATAGGGATATGCCATAATGTGATCAACCACTCACCCTTGAAGAACATGTGACTTTTTACCAAATTGGGACTAGCGCACATAAAACTTCTATAAACATTCAATATAGGTGTTTGCATAAAAATAAGCTTTGATTTCTCTCGGATGAGTATCCAGATGTGAGATAATGAGGTCACATGACAGTTGCATATGTGTTTCTTATGAAACTACCCCCAAAAAAATAAAAAATAAAAAAGCAACTCCTGTGCTCCAGAGTGGTGGTATGATTTTGCATTTCCATCGATAATGCATGACTGATCCAGTGTCTCTGCACCCTGTCAGCCTTCGGCGTGTCGTCACTGGTTTGAATGGAGCCATTTCCATAGATGTGCAGGGATAGTTCGTTGTGGCGTGTTAAGTACTGCCACACCCTGTGAATATTTCAGAGGCATGAAACATTTTGCTTACTCCAGAAGGTCTTCATATCTGCTGGGAATGTGTGCTTACAAACATTAATCTAGTATACAGAAAGCAAATAAAACCATGCAAGCTCTCAGAGAAAAGTGTCCTGTCAGCAAATTGAGAGACAGGTGTTCTATGAAGTCTGTAGAAAAGCAGATCAAGGATGAAAATCGGGGCTCATTATAATCTTTAATCAATTCACTGTAACAATATGGAGGGATTCCTAGGGGCCAGAGGTTCCTAATGGATTGTATTTTTGTTTTGTCAGTGGAATCATATCTGACCTTTTTCCTGGAGTCCAAATTCCGGAGCACGATTACGGTATCTTGCAGTCAACAATTATTGATGTTATGATTAAGCAACAGCTTCAGCCTGAGCTGTGTATGGTCCAGAAAGTGATACAGTTCTATGAAACCATGTTAGTAAGGCATGGTGTGATGCTAGTCGGGCCAACAGGAGGTGGTAAGACCACAGTTTACAGAATACTAGCAGAAACTTTGGGAAATTTGCACAAACTTGGAATAGACAATCCCTTTTACCATCCGGTTAAAACATTTGTTCTTAATCCTAAATCAATCACAATGGGTGAATTATATGGCGAAGTGAATAGCGTAACCTTGGAATGGAAGGATGGCTTGATGGCACTCAGTGTTCGAGCAGCTGTGAATGATACTTCCGAAGACCATAAATGGATTGTCAGTGATGGGCCGGTGGATGCTCTTTGGATTGAAAATATGAATACAGTGTTGGATGATAACAAGATGCTTTGCCTGGCTAACAGTGAAAGGATTAAACTCACACCTCAGATCCACATGCTTTTTGAGGTAATGCATGCCTTCGTGTGGAGGGAAATCATTTATTAGATTAGCATACCATCATTAAATTGTTTTTCTCACGCTGATGTAGCATTTACTCTCTATAATGCCTGCAATCGTGTATTTATTTGCATATGCTGGTGATTTAACATCTTCTCTAAGTAAAACAGTAAGTAAAAGATCATTTCTAAGTAAAAGATAAATTGTATTAATATGAGTAAATTGGTTCACTGTAGTGTAAACATTTGATGAAGGAATTGAGAGAGGAATGTGAACTGAATGCAACTATGAAGTATTAAGGAAATTATCATCACTCTAAGGAGCCCTGGTGGCATAGGAGGAGAAGCATTGAGCTGCTAACCCCAGTGTCAGTGCTTCAAACCCACTGGCCAATCTGAAGAAGAAAGATGAGGCTGCCTTCTCCTGTAAAGATTTTAAATCTAAACAGAAAACCCTCACTGCCATTGAGTTGATGTTGACTCACAGTGACCCTCTAGGACAGGGTAGAAGTGCCCCTGGGGGTTTCCAAGACTGTGACTCTTTACAGGAACCCTCCTACCTGCCCCAAAGGGTGGCTCTGAATCAGAATCAACTCTCTGACAGTGGGTTTGATGGGGTTTTCCATTCATTCTTCAAGCATTGTGTTAGGTATTGGGCTAGGTATTCGGTTACAAGAATAAATGAAATAAAGGTGGGGAGCAGGGGAGGGGGCATCTGTTCCCTCCCATAAGAACTTGAAGACTCTATACTCATTTTATTTCTCATCTCACACCTCGATTCCCCATCTCTCTCCAGTTCTGCTTGCTTATAGCTCTCCCATTCTCTTCTACATAAAACCATTAAGCAATACCTTAAGCTTTAAAACTGTGATTCATTGATTCTGGAATAAGGAAGAATTGTATTAGCTATTACCTGTCTAACTTCCTTCAACTTTAGGTTCAAGATCTAAGGGTGGCCTCTCCTGCCACCGTCAGTCGCTGTGGAATGGTGTTTGTTGATCCTGAAGAACTGAAATGGATGCCGTATGTTCAAACTTGGATGAAGGGTATTTCTAAAAAAGTAAGTGCAACCACATCCACTCCCCCCAAGCCTCCCCTGGTCCAACCTCTCCTTCAGGGCTCATATTGCCCTTGAGTGGCCAATAGGAACAGATTAAGGCCTCATTTTGGCTTGATTGTGGGAATTCCAGAGTGTAACCTAGAACCTCTCACCAAGAATTTCCGAATATGGCCTCCTGCTTGTTACCAGAGCCTGCCAGTCTTCCAGCTCGCTGTCTGCATGCCCGGATTCTCACCATGTCGGTTCCTCTCAGGTGCAAAGCCACACCCTGCCAAGACACACATAAAAACAGCCTATGGTGTCGAAAAGCCTTGGTTAGAGATAATGAAGAAAAACAAAACTTAACCCTAGACACTAGCTGTCATTGCTATGTAGATTTCAGAACACCCCCTCACCCCCCGCCACCAACACCTCTGAGAGCCAACAAAAGAAGAAATCCACCCTGTTCTTAGATTCTTGGCCAAAGACACATTCTATCATCAGAGGGACGACTCCCAGCAAAGTGAAGAAAACTTTCAATGCAGCCACATTATCTCCCATAACTCTCTCCATTCTGAAATAGGATTTGGGCCTTATTTATCTTAACAAGTGGATCCTTGCAATGTTCTCCCCATTCCACCCCACTCCAAGAAAGTCATTTTCTCCCCAGCCTTTCCCCTCCAAAGATGAATAAAAAAACTGCTTTTCTCAGTCCTATACTCTTCTTGAAACACCAAACTCACTGCCATCAAGTGAATGTTGACTCACATCGACCCCGGTGGGTTTCCGAGACTGTTTACAGCAGTAGAAAACCCAGTCTTTCTCCTGCAGAGCAGTAGACCATGCGGATTACAGCTCACAGTGCGACCAGGCATCAACATTTTAGCAACATTGTCATCTAGTATTTTATTAAAAGAAATAATTCTCAGAATTGAGAATTTATCATAGGTTACTACACGGCTTGAAACATCCTTCATTTCAAAATATTTGGAATAATTCCTTTTAGCTTAGATACCAAACCAAACCCACTATTATCAAGTAGATTCCAACTCATAGAGACCTTATAGGACAGAGGAGACCCGCCCCATTGGCGTTCCAAGGTTATCATTTTGATAGAAGTAAATTATCACAGCTTTCTCCTGTGGGTTGACTAGTGGGTTCAAACTGCCAACCTTTGGGTTAGCAGCCAAGCACTTCAACCACTGTACCACCAGGGCACTTCCCCTGACTTACATAGACATTTAGTTCTTTTCTTCTGTGTCTCTTGTTTTATTGTTCTTAATGAGTTTCAATACATTATAGAAGGATATATGGAATATATACTCATATATTGATATAATAAAACTGGGTATCCGCTACCAGATCAAAGAGCCAAATATTATCAGAAAATAGAATACGCCCTATATACCCTTTCTTAATAACAGTAGGATTATTTTGTTTCTAAATTTAATTTGTTTTATGTCTTGTGACCGTTAGCTATGGGATCACAGAAAGTATTGAAATGTATGGATTGGAGTCAAACGTACCTCTAAACTTCATTATACCTTTCATGCAGGCTTGTTAAAATTGCTTTTACTTTACTTCCAGTTGAATGAAGAAACCCAGGAATATCTGCTGAACCTTTTCCAGCGTTATGTTGATGATGGTTTAAATTTCATCAGTAAAAAGTGTAACCAGGCAATCCCACAAGTGAACATCAGCAAAGTGACTACACTCTGTTTCTTATTGGAGTCTTTACTATTTGGGAAGGACGGACCGAACTTGACAATGGTATGAAGGGTTTTCTTACTGCTGTGAGCCTAGGAAAGTGAAACAATGAGCTTGTGATCAGACAAAGAGCACTGTAAGGGGATTTTAACAACTGCACTTAGGTTGGAAGGTAACAATGCCTTGTCATTTGAACGCCCTTTGGATCCAATGTGAATTGTTTCTCAATTTCTAATATTCTCTGCTTTTCCTTAGATTGAGGTCTTTCTCTATTTTTTTATGGTCATTGGTTCTGGGTCCTTGTTGGGTGCTTATCTGGGTTTTGCATGCTCATCTCTACAGGGAAATGGGGATGTATGAAGAGAGTAGTTGGATTAATGATCACCTCGGCACAGAAGGGGAGGGTGGGCGAAGTGGGGAGTGAACAGCAATGGGTCCAAGAGGGAAGAAAATGTTCCAAAGTTGATTGCATGACTCTTCTTAATACAATTGAACTCTTGAATGTATGATCTGTTAATTATAGCTCAATACAATTTTAACAAAGAAAAAGATTGTTGGGCAGATGCTTTGCAAAGAATTTCAAATTTCTGTAATATTTTTTTATCAAATTAATTTACTGGAGGCCCAGTGACTTTGACAGAGAACCCCCAAGTTGGAGGGCATGTTCTGGGCCCTCTAGTTTACTCCCCTTTTCAACATCTGAGTCCCCCAGTCTTTGTCTTATTCTCAATACATGTCTGTCTAGCAGCCGCTTAAACGGTTTAATTCAAGCATCAAATAGTTATCATCATGAGTTGAAAGCTACCTTGAGAGGTTTTTTTCTTCTACATACTCCTTGCCATTCTTTGTCTCACTGGGTCTTCAACTATGTCTCGCTCACAGATAGCATCGCTCTGTGACCCACTCCCTGAAAGCTAAGAAATGCATCCATGCCCCTGGAGGAATGGTTCAATCGAAAGAAAAGGAGAGGGTCTTTGGACTTCACAGTTTAGGATCCTTCTTATCTTTACATATAAAATATTGAAACTGTTTATCTTTATTTTTCAGGAACAAACAAAACTGAACACTATACTATGCCAGACTTTTGTATTCTGTTATTTATGGTCTCTGGGTGGAAACTTAAGTGAGAACTACTGGGATTCATTTGATACATTTATTAGAACACAATTTGATGACAATCCTGATGCGAGGGTAAGAGCCAAATAAATTTAGTTTTAACATAATAATTCTGAATCATAAAAATTAACATTTAAGTAAAAAGTGTTAAGACCTCTCCTCCTCCTGCAAATATATATTCTTGACTAAAATAAGTTTTTTTCTAAAAGAAATTTTTCAATTTTCTATCATAGATACCATTTAGTATATTGAAAAAATTATTTAGGAGTCCCTATCTAGCATAAGAAAAGAATATTTTAAAAAAAAGAAAAGAAAAGAATATTTTAAAATTTACCATGATGTTCCAGAATATTTCATTTTAGTTAGTAGATTTATTGTTCCTGCTGTGGTAAATTATCCATGCTAAAATTGACTGCCTACATTCTAAGACTGGGCAAATGGATAAATATTTTGAGGACAATGCCAACCACATTTCTTACTGTCATAGAAGGGGTTTACAAGCATGGAAGGAGAAAGACTGGCATGTAATTTCAAAGGTTCTTATGAGTATGGACTCATGGGTTATTTTAAAATGTGTATACTTTTTAAAAACACTGTCAAATCCATTCCAACTCCCGTGACCCCGTAGGGCCGAGAGAATTGCCGAGAGGGTTGCCGGGGTCCTTCTCCCACGAAGCAGGGGGAGGTTTGAGCCACAGATGGCTTATGAGCAGCCAAGTACTTAACCGCTGGGCCCCCAGGGCTCCTCCTGTGCATACATGTGACCCTGGGAGATAGCTGGAGATGAATAACTACCCATCCAGACATAAATCCCCTAACACGGTGTGCTGCAAGGAGGTCGGAGCAATGACAACCCCATTTCCATGAGGTTATGAATGCTTCAACACTAAGCCCCACTAAAGGTAACAAAGATTCCTCAGTGAAATAGCTGATTCCAAGATGGGACAGGAAACATGAAAACAAAGTCCAAGTCTCTTCTTATGCCAAACAGTAAAGGGTTATTCAGAGGATGCTGCAGATATGTCCAAAAAACACAGTTTGGCCAGGCTCCCACTGCCCAAACTGGGAAGTTTGAGTGTCAAAAATAAATATAGTAGTGAATTATCGTTTACTGAATAAAATACAATCTGTGAATATGTACCAATGATGAAAATATCCACGCACGTATACATAAATTGGGGAGAAGGAAAAACCTGTTTGTTACTGGAGAATGACACCTAACTTATGAAGAAGGAATTAATGAAGTTACAGCCTCGTCACTTTGCACCCATTACATCAGTAGCCGATGCTAACATTCGTGAGTATAAGCTCCATGAGAAACAGTATTTGCAGAGTTTCAAAGCATCTCTGCACAAACGACTGATTACTTGCAAAAACAAGACTACCTTGGAAATAGAAAACCTTTCAGACATCACCTCTTAATTAGTGATCAATTCAACATCAGCAACATTGAGACAACCCTCTACCCCTTAACTGGTGTCCTAAGAAGGAAAGGCAGGAGACCTGGTGACATAGCGGGTTCCTGGTTGGCCTGCTAATGGCCAAGACCAGCAGTCAGAACTTCCCAGGAGCAAAACGCGGGTCTTCTGCTCCCGTAAAGGCCTGCGGTCTCAGAAACGGCTCAGGGCATCACGCGAGTCTACATCCACTCAGCGGCAGTGGGTTGGGGCTTACCAAGGAAATACGTTTGCTCCTGTGGTATTCCTTTCTAAACGTGCACCTGAGTCTAATTGTGATGATACATCTGGAAACCCCAAACAGAAGAGCATTCAATGAAATCAATTGGCCTGTATTTTTCAAAATGGTCAATGTCTGGCAGACAAAGTAGAGGCTTTTCCCAGATTACAAGAGTCTAAAGGAGTGTCTAAAGGTGTTGACAGGGGAGGGGCACAAGGTTGCCTTCTGAGGTGCTGAACGTGTTTATATTTGGGAAAATTCTTTATATTTGACTTCTAAAATCTGGGAGAGAAAAAAAACATATTATACCTCCATAGAATTTTTTTACTGCCATAGCATGGAAACTAAAGTGAAGTTTCAGATAGTAAGGGTAAATATTATTCACTTCATACATATAGATGTATGTACTCAGTCTCCATGTAAAATTAATCTCTTATTAAGAGTTACCATCAAGTGAGCTTTCAATGTCAATGCTCTGTGCCCCCCCCCCCCAAAAAAAAATCATGGCCTGCTTAGAATCTTTCATTCCGAACTCTTTACCTCCGAGTAAAGAGTTTGGCTTGCCAAACCAAGGCTTGCCATCACCGGGCCTTTGCCTCTGTTCCCAGCTGTATCTCCCAGGCTTTGCTATGGGATGCAGTGTTCCCAGCATGCCCTGTGCTCTCGTGGCTTCCGGTCCTCTTTTCCCAGCCCGAGGGGCACACAGCAGCAGCACTATAATCAGTGTCTCAGACGTTCTCCTGCATCGCGTTGCACGCTTGCATGTAAAGATGAGTCTGCTGCCTACACAACTGTTTCGCCACAAAGAAAAAACGACATCCAAACCCATTCATGTCCTCCCCGCCCAATCCCTCCCCCACGCCCCACGCCCCCCCCCAATCCTGTCCTTGGCCTGCCGTGGTTTCCCCGTGACTTCGTTTCCTGAGCCCCTCGTTGAAGGCAGTGTTGCATTTTACACTCCAGCTGCCCAGCTCTGGCGACCTGTGGAGCGTTCACATGGACTTCGACACCAAACGGCTGGATCCCTGGGAACGAATCATACCGACCTTCAAGTACAGCCAGGATGTTCCCTTTTTTGAAATGCTCGTCCCCACGATGGACACCGTGCGCTTCGGGTATCTGATGGAAAAGCTACTGGCGGTGAAGCATTCGGTGCTCTTCACGGGAATGACGGGAGTGGGCAAGGTAGGAAGCCGGCACCACCCACACTTCAGGCTGGACTCGAACTATAGGGGCCAGAAATCGTGCATTCGTCCTCAGAGGGAAAGTCTTTTGCATTTTGATTTTCTTCTTTTGGGGGGATGACATTCCAAAAATCCACAGGGGTCGCTAGGAGTCAGCACTGATTGGCTCGATGGCAGTAAGTTTAGTTTGGTTTTTTTCAGGATGAAGGTAATGGGTGGATTGTGCCGAATCTGTAGGGGTCTTAGGAATTATTCCAAAGTGTGCCAGTTTCTGAATAAATAGCATATGAATATCATGGCGTCAATATCATATGAACCAGATGATATACCAGTCTTTCCTAAAGTGGAGGAGAACACCCCTAGGGGAGGGGGTGCTGGAACCCTCCAGAAGGAGCTGCAAAGGCAGATGCCTACACCTTATCCTGGATTATGGGTTATGGATAGTAAGATAGTTTTAAAATGCCAGTGGTAAGGCAACGCAATTTTTTTTCCCTGAAAAGGAGCGAGTAGGCCAACTACCTAAGTTTGGGGACCTAGGCTGTAGACCCTCCTTTGTGTTTTGGACTTTCTGGGGCTGCCCGGTGCACTGGTTAGAGTAGGAAATGCCCGGAGCGGTTTATGTCCACAGTAGGCTGTTGGTGAAGGTCAGCCTGTCCCTCCTGCTGATTTTGGCACTGTTGTGGAGAAAAGTCAACAAAAGGAGGAATGCTGTTGGCCTTGCTGGTTTGGGGCTATTCCATACAAACAGGGACTCATTGCCTCCACCCTCCATTGTTTCCGAAAGAAATACAGTAGTTGTTTGGGCCTTTCTGTGACTCTTATGAAATTGGATAGCATAGTAGTCAAAATGGATTTTGATAACAAAAGTGAAGAAGCGTTTTGGCTGAGATCAGCCGGAGTCAGTGGGAACATTGCTCTGGGTCTCCTAAATATGGAATCTCCAGCAAGAGATCAACAGCTGTAACTTCTAACTTGACTTTTTAATAAATCATTTTCTCGGGGGCTCTCCCAGCTCTTAAAACAATCCAAACATCAATCGTATCAAGCACATTTGTACCTACGCGGCCATCATCCTTTTCAAAACATTTTCTTCTATTTGAACCCTTGGTAGCGGCTCCTCTTTTTCCCCTGCACCACCCCCCCCTCACTCTCATGAACCCTTGATAACCTCCCACTTTTTATCCTGTTTCTGATGCATCATACTGGGTGATTACTTATATAGACAATTGAAAAATATTGTATTGAACTTGAAATCAATGAACTCTTTTTCATTTCGAAGTCTGTCATTGCAAAAGGACTACTGAGTAAAATCCAGGAAACTGCTGGCTATGTTCCTGTTTACCTAAACTTTTCTGCTCAAACGTCATCAGCAAGGACACAAGAGATTATTGAGTCAAAGCTGGAAAGAAAAAGAAAAAACATTCTGGGTAAGAGTTAGCATTTTTGTTTGTCCCCAAAACATTACTTAAGAAGTTTATAAATCACTAAATCACCAATAAAACTACAATTGGATAACATGTTTGCTTTATAAAGTTTTTCAAAATGCTTCCAGTAAAAGGTATTTTTTCTACTGCTAGGTACCCAGGTTCCTTCCTATTAGCAAGCAAAGAATTTATCTCTATCGTCATGCTCCACTCAGAACACCTTCAGCCTCTGTCTCTCCACGGGCCTCCCTCGCGCCACAGATGCTCTGTTTTCAAACCTGCATTGGTTTCCCTGCATGGAAAACCAACAAACCTATTTACCTGGGGCTGAATGAATCTGAACTCACGGAGAAATCAACAAAATCATGTTCCTTTTCGTCCCCTCGGTCAGCACTTTGGTCAAGGCTTTGGTTATCAAGTTATCTCCCTCCCTCACCCTAGCTGCCCTTCCCTTATTAGCCGCTTTGATGTAAGGGCAGCGTTTTCTAGTAATTTTAGTTATTTTGAGTTCAGTATCATGTAAAGCCTCAATTCCAAACCCAACTTAAAGTTGCACCTCCCCCCTGCTGCAAGCCTAGGTACTGGAGCCCTGGGGGCTCGAAAGACTTCAGGTAGACGGGCCTTGGGCTGTTCCTTTACTTTTCTGTGTCCTCGCCTCCTCTAGGAGATGGTGTGTTGAGACGAGAGGAAACAAATGAAAGGCTGAGTCTCTTCTCCTTCCCTGTCTGTGGATGGTCCTTCTGTGAACAGACCCTTCTGTTTGGGCTAGCTGCCTGGGTGTCAGTGCTCACTGTGTGGCAGGCTTCCAGGAGCACACTCTCCTGAAGGACTCCCAGAGTCCTCCACAGGCTAGGCATTCACCTTCTTACCAGGCTTTCTAATGTTGGGAAGCAGGCCCTGGGCACCCCCTCAGTCCCATCCTCCTCCATAGGGTCCCCTGCAGCCTTGTGTTACTGAGGTCCACTTGCCCGGCCACACCCCTCCTTGGTAGCGAGCATACTGACTCGATACCCAAACTCGGCCGCCTTGCACATTGTTGGCCTTGCCACCCCCAATAGTGGGCATACGCGATGCTTGACTGACTCCCTCTCTCCTTCTCTTCTTCTTGAGCATACAGGCACAGGACAACTGATGCCTGTCCTTCTAGGGGGAGGCTCGGCACCTTTTTGAGCGATTCTCTTAGACCTTCTCCCCAACTCTTGCTACTTGGCTTCTAAGGGCCAGAGAATGGCATGGAACACTTGGGTTTCCCGCAGTTACCTCGAAAGCCCCTCCTGTAATGAAGCCCAAATAGAAAAGTGGGGTCCACCAGGGGGTCACTGCTGGAGACTCTGCCAGCACTCAAATTGTTCATTATTATTATTTCATCTAATGAAGAGCCCAGGTGGGGGGTGGTCACACACTGGGCTGCTAACCACAAGGTCCGCAACTTGAACCCACCAGCCGCCCCACAGGAGAAAGGCGAGGCTTTCTACCCCCATAAGAAGTTACAGTCTCTGAAACCCACAGGGGCAGCTCTTCCCTGCCCCATAGAGTCGCTGTGAGTTGGATCGACTCGATGGCAGTGGGTTGGCGTTTGTAATGAGTGTATCTGTTGACTTTCCTGACGTCCAAGGAGGCATTGTGCAGCTTCCCTAATGGCGACGGCTTCCGGATGTAAAACGAAGGGGACCTTCTTCACCCTGGGCCCAGGCACCGGGGAGTGAGAGCAGCGGTTGTGATAGAGATTTTAAAAGTGGAGGTCCAACTGGAGGTCGTGTGCCTTGGGCAGGGGGTGGGAGGTGGGGGTGAAATGACAGCACACACATTCAAGCAGGGCTCACAGATCTCTGCAGGCATCCAAGTGACATCAGAGGTGGCAGGAACTCTACTGGAGCCTCCCTCACCCCAGAAACAAACAAACAAACAGCTCATGGTGAGCTACAAGGTGTCCATATAGTCCAAATCCATACCTGGATTGTGGCGGACGTTTTCCAAGGGCAATGTGTAATTCTCCATTCATTGTCCTTTCCCCCAGGAGCACCGGGAAACAAGCAAGTGGTGATTTTTGTGGACGACCTAAACATGCCCAGGTTGGATCGCTACGGCTCTCAGCCTCCCATTGAATTGCTTCGACAGTACCAAGATTTTCATGGATTTTACGACAGGAACAAACTCTTTTGGAAAGAAATACAGGTTACTTTTAGCTTGAAATTCCTTTGGTTGTTTTTATTTAAATGGCTGGGTAGGAAGGTCACCTCGGTGTTTCCTTAATGTCCTTTAATCTATTCAGTTTAACTCCTGTAACTCAGTTCCATTAAGTTCCTGCCCTGCTTGGTCCAGGGATTCGTGGACAGGAGAGACAGCCTCCGCCTCCCAGGGTCCCGCTCCCCAGGGAGGTTCTGGTTCGATGTGCATTTGTAACGTGGGCTGATGAGGAGAAAGATACTGGAGATTGGTGAGGCTGGGTTGATCGTGAGAGAAGCCTTCCCAGAAGTGACTTTGAAGCTGTAGTTTTGAAGGCAAAACATGACAGAACAAGGAAAAGACGTGTGTTCCGGCTCAGAATCCATGAAATACCATGCCGTGGGAAGGTTGAAGGTTTCCCCTGCTTAGAAGGTCTTCATTCTCCAGCTCTGCCGCTGGGATCCCCTCTCCCTTCCAGGACATCTCTAAATCACCGTCTCACAGGCCTCCCCTCGACACCCGTACCCCCATTTCATTGTGAAATATTTTGGGTCTCTGAATTAGAGCTTTGGGCACGATCGTACTTTTTGTATGCCTCTGAATTCGATTCTGAGCTCTTGAAATGTTTCCCCTTCATCTTTAGGGTCCCTGCTGAGCTTAGTAGCTTGTTTTGTATGTGTTAGAGCTGAATTCACATAAAAACAGGAAACTTCCTATCTCAGGCCTCGAGAGCATAGAAATAAGGCCAAGAAGCAGAGATACATCCCAGACAACCTTTTCATCTGTTTCACCATATGCCCTAAAGACTGGATGATCAATTTCTATGAGTAAAAAGGTTTTGTGCTTGTTGTTCATTGGCTTTTCCAAGTTCCAGAATTCTCTTTTAACATACAAGCTAATCATAGGAAATATTTTTCTGTTCAAATAGTTCTTTTTGTCTCCGCTGCCATTATCTGAGAAGAACCGTGGTGGTGTAGTGGTTACACTTTGGGCTGCGATCTGCATGGTCAGGAGTTTGAAACCAGCAGCTGCTCCAAGGGAGAAAGATCGGGCTATCTACTCCCATAAACAGTTTCAGTCTCAGAAACCCACAGTGGGTCGCAATGAGTCAGCACTGATTCGATGGCAGTGAGAGAGGCTCGGGTCTGAAGCCAAGCACTCTCTCTGCAGGATTGCTAACTGTTCCCTGGTCTCCACACCTCTGTAGTTTGTCCCCACCCTGTAGACAATCAGAAGGGTCTCTTCAACATGCAGCTCTGATCTCGGCATCCCCTGCCTTAAACCCCTAAGTGCCTTCCTGAAGGTTGTCAGAGTTTCCCTCCCAATGAAGGACTTGGCACACCTACTTTCCTTTGCCTGGCATGGACCCTGCTTTCTCATTTTGACTATGTTTCCTGACTTTTTACCAACTTTCAGATTTTCACTGACAAATCATGAATGTGCTCTGACTCCATGGACTAAGTTACATCCCCTTGCCAAGCATTGCATGGCATTATAATTTTTTATTTTAATAATGTATTTTATGTGCTTGACTCAATGGATTATACGTATGGATTGTGATAAGAGTTGTATGAGCCCCCAATAAAATTATTATTTTTTAATTATTTAAAAAAAATAAAATAATGTATTTTAGAAAGCCTAAGAGCTACAACATGCAACTAATGTAAAAATTATTGAGACATTTTACATTCTTCTGCACTGTCTTTGGAATAAAGTATTCATTTAACCTATTGAGCTAGCCATATTTCAAGTGCTCAATAGACACAGGGGGCTTGTATATACCATGTGGGTCTGAGCAGTTCTAGGATCTTAGCGTGAAAAACCAAAAGCAAATTCACTGCCATCAAGTCTGTTCTGCTCAGAGAAACCTGATAGGCCAGCGTCCAACTGCTGCAGTGGGTTTCCGAGACTATAACCATTTATGAGAGTAGAAAGCCTCATCTTTCTCCCGAGGAGAGGCTGGTTGGTTTGATTGGCTGACCACATGGTTCTCAGCCTAACACATAACCACTACGCCATCGGGCTCCTTAGGGTGGAAAAGAAACTCAACGATCATTAAACCCTGACATTTGTAGAGTGTTTGAAACCCCTAGAGAGCATCTGGGCTAAGTGGCCCTTCTGTCCCTACATGATCCCATATAAGACACAGTTTTTCAATCTTGGGTTGCTCTGACTTATTGAGTTGGACTCTGATTACCAGCCTCTAAACAAGGCAGCCACAACTTTTCTGTCATTTTTTTTTCACACTGTGGTGGCTTGTGTGTTGCTGTGATGCTGGAAGTTATGTCACTGGTATTGCGAATGCCAGCAGGGTCACCCAAAGTGAATGGGTTTCAGCGGAGCTTCTAGGCTAAGAACAGACTATGAAGAAGAATCAGCTGTCCACTTTGGAGGAATTAGCAGCTGAAAGCCTTCCGCATAGCATTGAAACATTGACAGATACTGAAGGCCTAATGAGTGGGAGCAGAACATTGTCAGAGATAACGCCAGAGGACCCCTCAGGTCAGAGACATTCAAACTATGACCAACGGAAGAGTTGCCGTCTCAAAGTAAAGTCCACTACAACGACTTGAATGGAGTAAATCTCATGGGAGTAAAGCCTCTCAGGCCTTCATTTGCTAATGGAGAATGGCTCAAAATGAGAAGGAACAGCTGAAGAAAAAAAAGAACAACAATCAGAACTTGGAATGTATGAAGTATGAATTTAGGAAAGTTAGAAGTCATCAAAAATTAATGTATGGATTGTGATAAGAGCTGTATGTGTCCCCAATAAAATGATTTTTTTAATTAAATAGAACCTGAAGATTGATATCCTACATGTTACTGAGCTGAAATGGACTAGTGTGCCAGCCTGGGTGGTCAAGAAAACAAAACCCCTGGCACTCATATACTTATAGGAAAGGCCTCCCTGAAGGCATCAGCCAAAAACAAGCCTCCAGGAATTGGTGGAGTTGGGAAGTTGAATGTTTCCACTAGCTGATGAAGCACTGGAAGCATGTAGGAAATCAGGAAGACAGCTATTTGGCCAACTGACTGGAAGAGATCCATATTCATACCCATTCTAAAAAAAGATGACCCAACAGAATGTTCAAATTATAAAACCATATCATTGGCATCATATCAAGTACAATTTTACTCAAGATCATCCAATAATGGTTGCAATTGAACATTAACAGCACCAGAGGTCACGCCAAATTGAGAAAAGGGAGTGGAACATGGGACATCAAATGGATCTTGGGTGAAAGCAGAGAATACCAGAAAGAGGTTTGCTGGTGTTTCATTGACTATAACAACTATGGGAAGCCCTGAGATGAATTCCAGAACACTTCATTGTGCTCACAAGGAACTTATACATGAATCAAGAGACAGTTGTGCAAATATAACAAGGGAATACTGCAAGGCTGAAAATCAGGAAGAGTGTGAGTCAGGGTTCTGTCCTCTCACCATACCTATTCAAAATGTATGCAGAGAAAATGCTAATGAGAGAACCTACACAGAATAAGAATGTGATACCAGGGTTGGAGGAATGCTTATTAACAACCTGCAATATGCAGAGGACAGCAGCGTTGGTTGCTGAGCTTAAGGAGGACTGGCAGCACTTGCTGATGAAGATAAAGTATTGAAGCTGTGTCAGTCCGAGTAGACTAGAGAAACAAATCCATAGAAATTCATATGTGTATAAGAAAGAGGCTTATATACAAAAGCAGTTGACTATTGAGAACATATCCCAGCCGAGTCTAGATCAAGGCCATAAGTCTAATATGAGCCCATATGTCTGATACCAATCTGTGAAGTCCTCTTCAGACTCACGAAACACATGCAGTGATGCTGAATGAAGGAAAATCACAGGCCAGTAGGTGCAAAGTAAGTGGCAGTAGAAGCATCTCAGTGCTGGCAGGGGTCTCCAGGAGGCTCCTCCAGTTCCCAGGGCTGCATTATGTAGGTCCATGTGGTTTCTTCTCAGGAATGTCTTGCAGGAAGTAAGCAGAGAGAAGTAGCTCCCTTCTGCAAGGAGGAAAATACAGGAGTTCCCAGAATTCTCAGGAGAAGGCCATGCCCACACAGAGACCTCTTTGGTTTTATCTTGATTGACAGGCCAGACTCCACCCCTTCACTTTTAGTCCTTTCAAATTGACACCGCATTATGTAACTACCACAGACGCCTTCAGTATGGATTACATCTCAATGTAAAGACCAAAATCCTCACAAATGGACCAATAGGTAATATCATGATAAATGGAGAAAAGGTTGACGTTGTCAAGGATTTTTGTCTTGTTGGGAACCATAATTCATTCTCATGGAAGCAGCAGTGAAGCGATCAAAAGTTGTATTGAATTAGGTAAATCTGCTGCACAGACCTCTTTAGTTTATTGAAGAGTGAGAATGTCACAATGAGGACTGAGGTGCACCTGACCTAAGCCATAGTGTGTTAGTCAGGGCAGACTAGAGAAACAAATTCATAGAGACTCATATGTGCGTAAGAAAGAGCTTTATATAGAATAGCAGCTGAATATTAAGAAAACATCCCAGCCCAGTCCAGATCAAGTCCATAAATTCAATGTTAGCCCATATGTCTGACACCATTATATAAAGTCCTCTTCAGACTCATGAAACACATGCCATAACACCCAGTGCAGGATGGTCACAGGCCCATGGGTAGAAAGTCTTTGGATCCAGTGGCATTGTAAGCATCCCAGTGTTGGCAGGGGTCTCCATGTGACCTCCAGCTTCCAGGACTGCATCAGGGTAGGTCCATGTGGCTTATCCTCAGGGATGTCTCGCAGGAAGTGAGCAGAGAGAAGTGTCTTCCACCTCCAAGGAGGAAATACAGGAGTCTCAGAAGGCCATGCCCACACAGAGGCTTCATTGACTATGACCTGATTGACAGACTAGACTCCACCCCTTCACTCTTAATCCTCTCAAATCCCACATTGACACCAGATTATGTAACTACCACACATGGTAAAATTATAACAAATGGAGAAAAGATTGAAGTCAAGGAGTTTATCTTGCTTGGATCCACAATCAATGCTCATGGAAGCAGCAGTCAAGAGATCAAAAGATGCATCCCGTTGGGTAAATCTGCTGCACAGGACCTTTTTAAAGTGTTAAAAATCAAGACTGTTACTTGGGTTACCTGACCCAAGCCACAGTATAATCAATTGCATCATAAAACAGCCAAAACAGCAAAAATCAAACTCATTGCCATTGAGTTGATGCCGACTTATAGTGGTCAAAGGTCAAGGAAAGGGTAGAGTTGTCCCCTCTGAGTTTCTGTGATGAGTGGAAAGCCTCGTGCTGGTGAAGAGCATTCAAAGCACCATGGACCAACAAAATGAGGCTACTGAGATGTTTCTGACATTGTCCATAGCATCTCCTTAATGTAGGTCTCTCTTTTTTCTGTTTAATTGACATATACATAGTGGATGATACAATTCATTGGTTTAAATATATTACAAAGCACTGTGCAATCATCACTACAATCAATTTTGGATAATGTTCTTCATTCTTGTACCCATTGCTATTAGCGCTCCACTACCCCCAATAACTCCTAAAATAACTCTAAAGATCTACAAATCTACTTACTATCTCTGTAGATTTACCTATCCTGGATATCATATAAAGAGAATCATACCAAAAAATCTTCCATCAAAAACAACAAAATAAAACATATATAAACTTCAACTCAAAAGAAATCAGAAAATGATAAAAACTAGAACAAGTTAAAAATGAGTCAAATTGGCTAAATTAATGGCACTATCAACAGTGTGACCTTATGTTCCAGAAAGAAAATTGATAATATTCTTTAACATAAAAAGATAATAATGTCTCTAAGATGAACCAGAGACCTACATAAACCATAGTTACAGTAATGGATTTGGGGCTCATACTTAATTCTAGCCCCAATCTAAGAACAATTAGGTCTTGTGACATGGCCTTGCTTGATACACACCTTCTTGAAAAGATCTGAAGATAAGGGTGCAACAGGAAAATGTGGAGAAGAAACTAGGTGGTGTCCGGCTATCAGAAAGAATACTGTCTGGGGTCTTACAGGTTTTTCTTCAAACAAGCAACATCTAAGTGAAGCATCAATTAAGTCCACAGGGAAGCAGCACACCAGGTGTGTGATCCAAGGATTGTAAATAATAAAATACAAATCCGACGGAGGGAATGGTATCAGAGCTTAAATTGTGAATTCTTAGTTTGCAGAAGGCTGTGGAAGACAATGGAAGCCCAAAGTCTATTTGCAGGAGCTACACATAGATTAAACCTCTGGTGATTTCCCTCCTTTTTGACCCATTTTAAAATTGCTTTAGTTCTTAATATTTTCCGTCTTTCCAACTGTGGTTTTATCCCCCATTTTATTTTGTTATTATTGATAGCTTTTTGACTGTTTGTTTTACATTTTTGTTTGTTTGTTGGCATATGAAATCTAGGATGGGTGAATCTACGGAGGCAGTGACTGCATGAATGGTTCCTTGTAGTTATGGCAGGGAAAGTTGGTGGAAATGGGGAGCTAATAATACAGCGCACAGTAGCAGGGAGCAAGGATGTTCTAAAATCCTTCTGGTAATGATTGTATAATACCTCTTGATATGATTAAACTATTGAATTGTATGATATTTGGATTATGTCTCAAGTAAACGATTTATTTTAGAAACATTTGAATGTTAAGGGAGATTACATAAGAATTTCATGTTTTAAGTGGATCAAGAGTGAAAACAAATGATAAGTTGTTAAATTTTCATCTAACTATATCTACAATAATCCATTTGTAAATGCATTCTGTCTGGGAACGAACTATTCATATTCCCAGTCAATGGTCCAATGGAGTTCAATGAAGACTTAATCAACGTGAGAATTCTACAAAAGGATCTTGGGCTTTCACTGTCAACCATACCCTTCTGAAAACCAGGTGCTAAGAATTTCAGCTCTAATACAATGCCTTCCTCTGGTCTTGGATGTTATTATTTCCAATCCTTGGATCACATCAGCTGGTGTGCTTCTTCCATATGAACTAAGCTAACACCTCTCGTAGATAGCTATTGGACATAGCAATATGTCCTTCCCTCAAGTTCAATGAAGCATGGAGAAAGCTGCCTTTTCTCTCCACGTTACCCACAAGATCCCCAGCACAACGCTTACTATGTTTAAGTAGCACAAAGTATTTGTTAAAAGAATGATTTTTTTTTAATCTACAAAATGGACCTGATAAGAGTAATCTCCTAAAGTGGTTGTGAGGATTCAGTCAGACAATCCAAAGCTGGTATTTAAGTAGGCCCTTAAAAAATGTTGACTTTGAGTCAACCTTCCTATCATTGGAATGGGCAAATTCCATGACTTTCTTTGCTAGATGACCCAAGTGGACCTCTCCCCCCACAGGATGTAATAATCGTAACAGCATGCGCACCTCCAGGTGGTGGCCGCAACCCTGTGACGCCTCGCTTCATCCGACACTTCAGCATGCTGTGTCTCCCAATGCCCTCTGAGCACAGTCTAAAACAGATTTTTCAGGTGAGTGTGGATTTAAACTTGGGCAAGAGGAAAATGTGTGTGTGTGTGTGTGTATGTGTGTGTGTGTGTGTGTGTGTGTGTGTATCCCATCATCAAAGGAGTCAGTGGTGCTTACAAGGTGCCCATCCTTTCCCTGAGCAGAAGCCAGGTCACAGGGACATAGAAGGTAACAGGCATTTGTGTCACTGCCCTGTCTCTGTGTTTGTGGCCCCTGAAATAGTCTCAGGAATGCAAAAAGATGGTCAAAAACTCAGCCCTAGCCTTTAAGGAAGGCTACATCCTAGGCCTTTGTCTCTTAGTGGATTTCATCTATTTCCCAGCCCGCATACCTCTGTGCTCCTCTAATACCTGACCACCTGGTGGATGAGTCCACTTGGCCTTCAACTGACAACGCCTGACATCTCCCAGCGCGAGCTCAACTGCAACATCCCTAAATCGGCACTCATCACATCTGCCATCACCATCACCTCCAATAAAGCCACTCACCCACATTTCATCCAGCCGGGCTAATTCCCTAAGTGGCGACTGGCACCACTTTTAAAAGGGAAGAATAAGGATATCTGCCTGGTACGGTCATTTTAAGCATTGCATGGAAAGTGCCTGGCTCAAGTGTTCCATAAGAAGACATTATTCTTTAGTAGACTAATGATGCAAGAATGTGAAGCGTCACAACTAGGACCTATTGTAGACCATCAACGAAGGCTGCATAGAGAAAGTAGTCTTAGAGGATGCAAACTGACCGGGAGGACAGATTCTGGTACTGACAGGAATTCGTTAGGTAAGTGAAATTACAAGGCAGAAAATGGTAAAACAAGTGTATGGGTTGGCCCAATAGTTAAGGAGACTGATGGAGAGATGCCCACTTTCGCCGTAATCACTGAGGGACTGAAGAAGCCCAATGACATGGGAATTAGTGAGACCCCACACTACACTCACCAACACTGGGTCTCCTACCGATGTTGTTAGGTGTCAATGAGTCATTGACCCATGTCAATGACTACCCATGTCAACCCTATGCACAACAGAAGGAAACGCCGCCCAGTCCTGTGTCATCCTCACAATTGTTCTCATGTATGACCTGATTGTTGCAGCCACTCGGACAATACATCTTGTTGAGGATTTTCCTCTTTTTTTGCTGCCCCTCTACTTCACCAAGCATCATGTTCTTCTCCAGGGACTGGTCTCTCCTGACAACATGACCAAAGCACATGAGACAAAGTCTCGCCATCCTTCCCTCTAAGGAGCACTCTGGCTGTAATTCTTCCAAAATAGATGTGTTTGCTCTTTTGGCAGTCCATGTTATTTTCAGTATTCTTCTCCAGCACCATAATTCAAACACATCGATTCTTCTTTAGTCTTCCTTATTCGATGTCCAATTCCCACATGCAGATGTGCCATGGAAAATAGCAAGGCTTGGGCCAGGTCCACTTTTGTCCCCAAAGGAACATCGTTGCTTTTCAACACTTTACAGAGGTCTTGTGCATCCATTTACCCAATGTTGTAATCCATACTGAAGGCTGCAATCGTTGATCAATATCAACAAGTACTGCAAGTTCTCACTTTCAGCAAGCAAGGGTGTGTCATCTGCATATCTCACGTTACTAATAAGCCTTCCTCTAATGCCACACTCTTCTTCATGCAGCCAGCTTCTCTAATGGAATGTTCAGCATATAGATTGAACAGTGTGATGAGAGTATGCAACCCTGATACACACCTTTCCTGAATTTAAACCATGCAGTATGCCCTTGTTCAGTGCCCATAAATTCCTCTTGATCTGTGTACAGGTTCTGCATGAGCACTGTGTAGTGTCTGGGATTCTCATTCTTCCCAGGGCTGGCCATAATCTGTTATGGTCCATACAGTTGAATGCCTGAGTATAATCCATAATACACCAGTAAACATCTTTCCGGTATTCTCTGCTCTGAGCCATCTGCAATGTTAGCCCTTGTTCTATGTCTTCTGAATCCATCTGGAATGTCGGGCAGCTCCCTGCCAATGTACTGCTGTAACTGTAAGCATTGTGGAATGAGCTTCAGCACAATTTTACTATGATTTTCTATAATCGAGTATTCTGTTGGGTCACCTTTCTTTAGAATAGGTACAAATATTGATCATTTCTAGTCAGTTAGCCAAGTAGCTATCTTCCAAAATTCCTGACGTAGATGAGTTAGTGCTTCTAGTAAGTACTTGATCAGCTTGTTGAACTGTTTCAGTGGGTGTTCCATCAATTCCTGGATTCCTGATTTTGGATAACACTTTCCATGCATCTTGAACTTTTGCCTTAAGCATCATTAGTTCTTGCTCATGTGCTACCTCTTGAAATGGTTGAATGTCAACTAGTTCTTTTTGGTACAGGACTCTGTGCATTTTTTTTCCATCTTCTTTGGATACTTCTTACATCATCAAATATTTTGCCCATAGAATCTTTCAATATTGCAACTAGAGGCTTGGGTTTATTCTTGAGTTCTTTCAGTTTAAGATATGCTGGGTAAGTTCCTCCCTTTTGGTTTTCTGACTCTAGGTCTTGGCACATTTCATTACAATATTTTACTTGGTCTTCTTGAACTGCCCTTTGGAATTTTCTATTCGGCTCTTTAATCATTTCTTCCAATTGCCTGTGCTGCTCTATGATTAAGGGCAAGTTTCAGGGTCTCTCCTGACATCCACACTGATCTTTTCTTTCCTGTCTTTTTAGTGACCAGTGGCTTTCTTCATGGGCAATGTTCTTGATGTCCTCCCACAGCGCATCAAGTCTTCTGTCGGTAGTGTTCAGTGCATCAAATCTGTTCTTTAGTTGTTCTCAGAATTCAGGTAGGATAGGCTGATGGTTGTATTGTGCCTCTCAAGAACTTTTCCTTTTTCTTCAGCTATAACCTGAGCTTGTATTATGAGTAATTGATGATCTGTCCACAGCTAGCCGCTGGCCTGGTTGTAGCTGCTGACACTGAACTTCTCCATTGTCTTACCTCAGTGAGGGAGTCCATTTGATTTGTGCGTATTCCATCTGGAGATGTCTCAGTGTATTGTCTCCTTTTGTGTTGTTGGAAAAAGATACATATGATGAAGAAGTCGTTGGTCTTGTAAATTCTGTCATGTGAATGTAGGGGTCACCCCAAACTTGGCAAGGTTCCTGAACATGCAACAACCAAAAATTAATTCAATATCAAATCCTTAATGAATCCAACACATTTCTGGCAGTGTTTGCCCCTGTTGCGAATTTCTCTGTTGAAAAAGGGGCACAAGTGGAAAAAGCTTAAGAAACCCTGGCTTAGATTAACCCAAATGCCCATTTGAAACAGCATCAGGACCCCACACCTGGTGCCTCCACCACTCTACTTTCATCTTAACTTGTACAGATAACAGCAAATGTTTGTATATTTATCTTATTTCTTGTTATTTCACATTTTTTGTATTTTATAAATCTATCATAATTTTACACAAGTCCCCGAAGGTGGTGCTCCAGCCAATAAGCATGTACTTTCAAAGTATGGAGGAATCCTGATGGAGGAGCGGATAACACATTGGGCCGCTAAGCACAGATCAGTTCCAATCTACCAAATCCATCAGCCTCTCTGAAGGAGAAGGATGTGGCTTTCTCCTCCCGTAACAGTGACAGTGTTGAAACCCCCGGGGGAGCCCTGTCCTGCCCTGTAGTGCCACCATGACTCATTCCATGGCAATGAGTTTCAGAGTACGGGAGATCATGTATGAGAACATCCGAAGCCAAGAAGGAAACTAATGGGGAGATTTCATCTAAATTGGGTGATGAGGGAAGGCCTCTCGGGGAAAGGGACATGTAATCTAAACCCTGAGCATGAAAAATGACTAGCCAAGTAGAGAATCATGGGAGTTGTGTATTGGGAATAGGGAAGAGCACGCACAAACCCTATGGGAGGACAGAACCTGTGGTGCTAGGGCTAGTGTGGCTGGGACATGGTGGTAGTGAGGGGAGGATAAGGTGAGGAGGCAGACAGGGAGGGAGGGCCAGGCCATGGAAGTAAGGCCTGGTGAAGGTCCTCAAGGTGCGCTGGGAGCTGTTGACAGCTTGGGGCACCTGGTTTGCATGATTATAGGTCATAAATGGGGACAAGAGTAGAAGCGGAGAAGGCAGTAAAGAGGGAGAGGAGGAACTCAGATGAAAAAGAGTGAGGGCTGGAATGGGAGCGTATCGGGAGCCGCAGTAGCAGACTGGATCCAGAAAGATATTCAGTTAGCCTTGCTATCAGACAGAGTATTGTAAACTCAATTATGGCAGATGTAATTAAGTTACAATGTAATACCTACTAATTTGATTATTTTAAATTTGTTTTGGTTTTTATTTTCTCCTGCTTTTTTTCTCAACGGAGGCTTTTGCTCTGGTTTATTTTGATGTTTTCTGTTTGTTTGCTGGTTTTCCAGTACATGAAATCCAGGATAGAGGCGCTAACCAGCTTAATGGCTTACTGGGAACACAGGAGGGAAAGTTGGATGGAGATGGAAGCCAATAATACAAAAAGGAAGAATATGCTCTAGAACTAATTGTAGTGATTATAATACAACTCTTTTTAATATGACCGGAGTCATATTAAATATGGGAGTACTTACTTAATATGGGAGTATATGATATGTGAATTATATCTCAATAAAACTTTTCAAAAGAAATATTTTCAAGCTTGATTGGGGGGACAGAGGTAGGGATGTGAAAAGAGACTCCTAAGTTGCTTAGCTGCTGGAAGATGGGGCCTTTTAACTGAGCTCTGTGGGGAGTTCGCAGTTATCGATCAGTAAGGCTCAGCTTACGTGCACATGAAGAACTGTGGATCACCCATCCACAAAAATCAGAGAAAGGCTGTCAGTTCACTGCCAATGAGTTTGGACCTCCATGAGGACTCTCTGGACTGGCCAGCTGGCCGAGGTGTCCACCACTGGAAAGGAAAGCATGCATGGTAAGCTCAGCAGTTAGAGTCAATGTCATGCAGGCATCCCTGGAGAATTATAGAAGTTAGGAATTCATTCGTTCCTGAGGCATATTCTAGAGTGAATAAAGGGACGTTAGTCCCCAGCCGTCCTTTCATTGGAATGTCACCTTCTGGTTATTATTAGTTCTACAGTATTGAAAGATACATATTTGGTTAAACGTTTTGAAAGTTAAAGAAAAAAACTCATCTTCTCTCATTATGTTTCTTGTTCCAGTCCATCTTAAACGGCTTCCTGAGTGACTTCCCACCAGCTGTAAAGCAGAGTGCACCGAACATCGTCGAAGCTGCAGTGGAGATCTATAACAGAATGAGTGTGGACCTGCTCCCAACACCAGCCAAGTCCCATTATGTCTTTAATTTGAGAGATTTATCAAAATGTGTGCAAGGTGGTGTATTGATCCCTCCTTTTCTGACCTGTACTCTCCCTTCATTTCCATTGACACCCCCCACCCCACCCCACCCCAGTATTCACCCCAGCTTCCTGAACTATCCAACTCCTATGCTGGTGAGTCTGTGATTCTATTTTCTTTTCACAGTCTGTGGCCTGACTCCTCCTTGGTAAACTGACTGGGGCTACTGACTGTGGTGTGGCCACCATGCCTGATAAAGAATGACACAATAACGCATGTTCCTCTTCCTCTATGGGAAGTTTGCCCTCCGTATTAGCAATTTAGTCCTGGCATGGTCCATTTTTCCTAGAAAAACTCAGAAACGTGTATTGTTTTGGTGAAAATGAACAGACGTGGACTTCCTTCCTACTCCTCAGGCATCGTCTAATCTAGTCATTTATCACCCTTCCCCATTGAACTGTTATTCCTGTCACTGAAATGTGTGAGTCTCAAAATTCAGGGCCTATTGCTCTCTGACCAGGGTGCATTATCAAATAGCCATTAAATTCCAATGTTGACTCTTTTCCCAGATCATTACAATGGTCTGGAAATGTTGGCTGAAAAATATTAAAATGTTAATCATTTCAAAACTCTTAGATACACACATAATTGCGAGCTATAAAAAGTCTCACCTTGGTATCTGTAGAAATGCCCTGTTACTCTCAGCAGCATGAGCAGCACCTACCATGTTGTATTGTGTGTTGCTCACTGTCCCATCTTCCGGTGAGAGCTCCGATGGAGCACCAACATTTCCAGGTACTGCCGTGCATCGCTGCTTTCCCTGGAATTTGAAGTTATTAGAACTGAGTTTGTGATTATATATATATAGTTGCCATACTTAAAATAATTTAAGCAAGAGCCTAAAAGATTAAGGGCTTTTGATGAGGATTGAAATGAACATTGGGGAACAATGAAAGAGGGGATCTGTGTTTTGAAAACAGTAGAAATGCCAGGGAGAGAAAGGCTTACTAGATGAATTTATGATTTTCCCCTAGTCCCCCAACCCTTCCCAGTCCCTGGTACCCATGAATCCACTTTTTGTGTCTCAGTAGACTTGCCTATGCTGAAGATTTCATATCAATAGGATCATATGATATTTGTCATTTTGTGCTTGTCTCATTTCCCTAAGCATAGGATTTAAAGGTTCATCCACATTGGTGCACGTATCCGAATTTCCTTTCTCTTTCGGTCTGGATAATAATACTCCATTGATATATATGCCACATCTTGTTTATCCATTCAATTACTGAGAGACCCTTGGGTTTTCACCCTTCGGGCTATTACTTCTGCCGTTGTGGTGAACATTGCTGTACATAAGACTATTCAAGTCTCTGCTTTCGGATCTTTGGGTGCATGCCCAGGAGTGGAATTGCTGAACCATGTGGTAATTTTACTTTTAACTTTTTTTTAATCATTGTATTGGGGGTTCATACAGCTCTTATCACAATCCACACCTATATCCATTGTGTCCAGCACATTTGTACATTTGTGTCCATCATCATTTTCAAAACATTTTCTTTCTACTTGAGCCCTTGG